TGAGATGTCATATAGATATACCTTATTGCCTTGAATATTTTGTTCATGGGCAAAATTTAATTGCTAGTGGCAATAACAGCACTTTTTTGTTCTCGCACAAAAATTTAAGTAGCAATTTCCTGAACTGCTTATTGCTAATTTAAAATATATTTTAAAAATAGAACTAGTTAAACTGTTGACTTTTTTATAACTAAAATTAATAAATCTGGCAACAGTGATTTAGTTTATATACAGACTTGCATAAATTTTAGATTTGAAGCATGTGAACACATCCATTATTGGTTGTATTTTATAAAGCAAAGAAAACAAACTGAAAATGTTTGAGTTTGAAGTTTAAAAAAAAAAGAGTAAGGTAGTAGTAGAGTTAATTAAAATTTTTAATGTAAAGGTGTTATAATTTATTGTTCAGACCTGAGGTATCTACACTTTGGATACCTATTGGTAGAACTAGACCATTAATCCCCAAGTTGACACACACACACTTTATTCTTCTACATATTTCAGTTGATTTGAATGAGGCTATTCACATAATTAAAATGACTTACATATTTGAGTATTTTTTTAGGTTTGGGACCCCAAGTCTTAATTTGAGAGGTACGTATCATGTTAGCAACTCCCATTGATCTACACAAGAATTGTGGGTGTTCAAGACTGTTTTTGGGCCTACTATTTTACTTTTTCTACTGTAAACAGGTAATAGTTTTTGCGCCAGAATTCACTGCAAGAAGCATAATCTAATACATAATCTAAGTTGCTAAATAGTTGGTTCCTTCAAGATCATAAACTGTGTTTTATAGAATAATATTTTAATTTTGTATTCATGAGAGTTTTAGCAATTTTTATTAACAAAAATAAGCTACAAAAGGAGGGAGGCAATTTTGTATTTGAACCCATTAATTAATTTAGGATAATTCATGTCTTTTTCTCGAAATGAGTACAGTGGTTTCCAGATAATCTATATGTTATACAGATGAACTGCATTGTATTCCTATTTTTGGAGGATCTGATTTTACTAGTTTACTACATGATTTTTTGTTCCTTGAAATTACCTGTAACATGTTTTGATTTGTTTTATGTTTTGGTTTGGTGTTTAGTAGGTAGATTTTTACATGGGAGTATCATTTTTATCTTGTTTGTTAGATTATAGCTGGTCTTGTATTCTGAATAACTCTTATCACCAGTAATATTTCTACTGTATGTAATTTCAAAGGTACCTTTGATGTTCTTAGTCTGCTAGCAGAATTCTTGCAGTGAGAAAAGAACCAATCATAGAAATATTCCTCTCTCCCCCCGTGTTTAGTAGGCAGGCTCACAAGTTAGGGGGAACATGTGATATGTACCATTCAGAGGTTACAGTACATTACTCGGTTGTTACCTTCAACTTGAAATTTATTTTTTAATGAACCAAAGTCAAAAATTGCTTTGGGTACTACCATCCTGACTGTTTCAGCTTTTGTGGTTTTACAATCACTTTTTTTTAAAGCTTTTTGTTTCTAAGAACTGACAGTGTATAGTAAACACCAAGTGATATCACATTCACAATTTTATTTTCACTGATCTTCAGCTGAGATCTTGTAACACTAGTAGATAATGTTTAAATTGATGGCCTCCCTTTTTAAAATGCATCTTATGCTGAATATATGCTTGCAAAAACATTATAGCTTTTTCTGAAATGTTAAATTGTTTACCTTAATATTGGTAAAACCAGAAAGGAGAATAGATTGTGTATTTTAGTTTTCTGTTTCTATAGATACTAGGATTTTGTTTGTTATATGGATGTAAAGTCATTGACAGCATTCACGGTACCTTTCTTTGCTTCATAGCTGTAAACTCCCACCTCTTCCCCTTTCCCTCTGACCGAATTGTCTTCAGATATTCTGGGATTTTATCTGTTTTTGTAGATAAGAGTTTATTCTTGCAACCAATTCATGCACACTCATATGCTGTTCCATTGCTCCCAGACCTACAAAAATGGCTAGGATGTATAAGAAAAGACAGTAATCTCTACAAAACATTTTCCGTTATGTTTTGCCTAGAAATAAATGAAAGGAGTTTCATGAGAAATATATACAAGAAAATCTCCGTGATCTGGTTAAAAAAGTTCAGGGAGATATGGAAACCCAGCTGTTAACAATTTCAAACAAGGGTTGTTATTACAAACAAATGTTCTTATGTGCTCAGTCAAAGTTGCTTGTACCTAAATTTCTATTTTACTGGAATTTTCTATTCAGTTATAGGTCCGTTTAATAACAAGCATACCATCTCAACTTGCCCAGGCCCTAATATGTGATGACAAACTGAAATAAAGAGGACAAAAATAATTTACGCAGGAAAGGTTAAAACAAAGGTTGTTAATCCTTTAATGTAACTAAATCTTGAAACCTGTTTCCTGATTCTTTATTTCTGATGTATGTAATTTTTAGTAATAAAAGCAAAAGGACTCCAATATAGGTGCCTTTGGACAGTGAATGAAGAGGAACATTTGAGGACAAGTTTAGGTTGATGCATAGAATAGTAACACATCTGTTTAGCTATGTTTTGTTTGTCTAAGTAATCCTAGTGTGTTTCTCTGTAGTACAGTATCTGAGCTTCAACAAACCACATTGGCCAGTGCACACCCTCACTTAACTCTGAACAATTTGTTTGCCTTTATACAGTGCTAAGAGCTACCTTTTGTAAGATGAGATGTAATATTAATGTGATAAGTATAATAATGCTAATACTATAGCCGTTTGTTGGGCATTTTGCTAATTTGACAGTGTAAAGTATACTTGTTGACATGATTCATGATTTATGCTTGAGAACATAAATACATGCAAGTCATATTTAAAAGAAAAAAATTAAATGCATGTTAATGTTCTCTTACTTGACAGATTCCAATAGAGATGGAAAGTCTTCAAAATTCCACTGCTTAAAAGTTGGAGTATGTAAACGTCATAATTGGAAAAAATAGTGTTCAGAAAGGAAGTAGAGACCCAAAATTAATACAGTTCTAACATCCTCTTTTAACCTGAAATGTCTGTAGAAGAACTAATGCAAATTCCCCAGTTTCTGTAATGTAAGTGATTGAGCAGCATTTAAGGCAGTGCACTTTGGGCAAGGAAATGTTTGTGGAAATTATCTTTAATTTTCGCCTGTAATATGCATTTTGTGATTAGCCTGGCTTTGTAGCTGAGTCTTTCATTGCTCTGGCATGAGATACTGTGACATGTTTTGGGGCCAACTAAAATCCAACGATAGCTAGCTGATTTTTTTTTTTTCAAAAATACACTTTGAGGAGAACTTTGGTATAATTGTCATAAGCAATTGGTTTTATATTTTGGATAATGTTACGAATTATATTTTCATTAAAAACTGGGAGAGGTCACCCTTTTTTAATTTTGATTACAGATATCTGAAATACATGAGCAGATTTCTTTCTCTTAATGCGGAAGAGAATAGAAAGGTACAGGAGAAGGAAGGTTAATGTGCTCATGTGATGGTAAGGAAGAATGGTAGACATGGTTATGTGATATGGTAAGCAGAAGATGCAGAGAGGTCAGTTTATGGAAGAGGTGAGATGGGCTCGAAGAGGTTAATTGATTAGTGATGAGAATGGAAGAGAAATCAGGACCTACGAGGAGTTTAGAAATGTAAGAGGGTAGATTTGAATGGCAGAATGGAAGGAGAGGAACCTTTAACCTTGCTGTTTTAGGCAAAATTAGAGAAATGGGAAGAGGAAAGGATAGCCTATGCTGAAAAATTTTGTATCCCTTATAAGACTTACGTAGGTGTGAGCGTGCTTCTACATTTCCTGAGCCCTGCAAATCCTCTCATTGAGCCTGTCTTTACATGAGATATGAGATTTTTGGGGGCAGAGAAGATAGTAAAGAACTTTGTTTAATATTCCAAAAGAACTGTTGGAAAATTAGATTTGTTTCAAGTAAGTATACTCAACATGTATATATTCTATGTCCTTATGATACATATTAAATGTTAAAGTTCAGGGGAATTGCTTCTGTATTCCCCACGTAGTGCTGCAAGGGTACTTGCTTTTAGGCCTCCATCTCCCTTTCTGTCATTTTTGTTGGGCCTACAGAAATACATTTGCTTTCCCTGCAGACCAGAGTTTTTTTTGCAGGCTTCAGAGTTCCTTGCCTACACTGTTATTCTCCAGAAGCCAGATGGCCTAAATGGCCAGCATCTCTAGTTTGCTTTTTCTTCAGAGCTGTAAACTGCATAACTACCAGTGTCAATAAATTACCACACAGGTATTTCTAGCAGGTACATTTATTTCTAAGGTGAAAGCATTATAGAGGAAAAACTATTCATAACAATAAACCTATACACATGCTTAAACTTGGCAGAGGTCACTCCCCTCTTCCTAGCCTCAGCAGGAGCTCTGACATAAGCCAGTCCTGTAGACCCTTCCCTAACCATTGGGGCTCCCCCTTGGACAGAAGGGTTTTTGGATCAGAAAGAAGGCCAGAGTTAAAGTTTAAGCTATGACAAAGTCTTTTGTATATTTGTCTCCTAGAAAATCCAGTTTGCTTGAGTGTTTGCAGACTTCTCCAGGTGCTGATATCTCACTGGAGATGTTACATGAGTGAATTTGCCTAATAATTCCTACTGTTCTTAATTCCTGGAGGGAGGTAATGACTTTCCCCAAGGAGTTGTATGAATCATTGTGAGCCACTGATTACATTCATTTAATACAGTAAGATTTCTCCTATATATTGCAAAAAGATTGCCAGCTCTGTCACACATCAGGATTGTTTTTAAAACCTTGATTTATTTTTACAGCACTTCCCTGTTACCAGTGATCTTTTATATGGCTGCAATGTTTTTGCAAACTTCTGGTTGATGGATCAAATACATTATTTTGCAGCTCTCAAATTTTGTTGGATGTTATAGAATAAGTGTTAATAAAGAACATCTATTTCACAATTTTAAATCGGAGAAATAAAGTAAAAGCCATTGTTCTGTATTCCTGAGCTCTGTATATTTCTCAAAGATGATGTTTTTACTATTTTTAGTGTATAGTAACAAATTCTTCATCTAGCTTTCAGTTTTGTGGTATCTCAGGTGGGAAATTCTATTCTAAAACTTCTAGAATAATAGTGTGTCTTACATTTTTAAAACATTCATTTCACTTCTCATGTTACCTCACCTTTCCCCCCACTCTCCCCTTCCTTGGCCAGTTATGCCAATCTTAACATGTCATTTGTCCACCTCGCCAGTAGTGTCTGCATTTCCTTCAATACTGATCTCTATACTTAACACTCTTCCTGATTTTGTTTATAAGGCTCTTTTTCCTTTCTTTCTAAACTCTCACCTCTGTCATTACATCTATTTTGCAATGATTGTGGGGTGCATGTTTGCAGAGTATTTGAAGTAAAAAAACATTAAAAACTTGCTTTTGGTGTGGGCAGTCACCACTTTACCATTTTACTTATTGGTCCTCTCCCTCTCTGCCTTTGGGACAACAGAACATGCCTGTTGTTGTTGTGTTTGTTGTTTTTTGTATAGTGTTAGTGTGTCCTGGATTCTCATGGATGAAGGGACTCCTAATAATGCTGGGGAAAATTCCCTTAAACTCTAATTTGAAATGTCGGAATAAGTGCTGTGTAAACATTCTAACCTCTTCATAAACTTACATTTACTTATTTAGATTTTTGTTTTTGCTTTGATGCATTTATTCATGTTGTGTATTTTAATTTTCAAGGTCACCTGAAAAGGAGGAAAAATAGCTTGTGCCCATTTTTGTATAATGTACAACAAAAGACGGCTTGAAAGCTTTTTTTTTCCCCATAGGTGTGGTGTGTTTTTTGTTTTTTGTTTTTTTTTTTGCTTTTTTTTCCCCCATAGGTGTGGTGTGGTTTTTTTTGTTGGTTTTTTTTTTTTTTTTTTTGGTTTTGTTTTTTTGCATTAGTACATCAGTTTCTGTCAGGGAAACTGTAAACTGACTGGAAAGTTAATGTTATCATGACATCATGAGCTAAAAAGTGAGGACTTTTAATTGCTATTTGAAATCCTTTTTTTAATGCCAATTTAAGTTTTACTGACTAACATTTGTAATAGTGGAAGCCTTTATTAAAGGTTTAACACTCTTATCCTTTCAGTTAAGATGTTGAAGTTTATCATTAAAAGCTTCCACATACCTTCCTACCAAACTAGGGAAGATCGCACTGCATAGTCTTGGTATTTTTGTGGTAAAATACATATAAATCATACAGCTAAAATAAATTTTTTTTTTTACTTCTAAACAAACACTTTCAGGCCTTCTTTATATACTGGAAAAGTAAAATTAAAAAATCAAAAGTCTAATTTAAAAATAAATCCTTTGAAAGTCATCTTCAAGGACTACATTTATTAGATACTCACCTTTTTGTGGGTGCAAAGTTATGCTTCCTGTTGTTTGAACCTGCAAAAAACCTGTTTAGGGCTAGGTTGAAAATCTGTCCCTTGAAGTCTGTTTTGAAATAATCATGCCTCCTTTTGTATTCAGTTGTTTTTTCTTATCTATGTCTTTAGGTTGCTATGGTGTTGACGGAGAGAGTGATTCTATTATGAGCTCAGCTTCGGAAAACTCCACTGAACCTTGGTTTTGTGATGCATGCAAATGTGGGGTATCTCCTAGCTGTGAACTATGTCCCAACCAAGATGGAATCTTCAAGGAGACAGATGCTGGAAGGTCAGGTTGCAGAAGTGATTTAATATAACCACATAGTATTTAAAGTTAATACATGATTCTGGGCCTATTTGTTTGAGTTTCATTAGGGGGCACTATCATAAATGAAATTGCATAGGAGGTAATCTCTTTTCCCATTTTGATTTGGAAAAAAATGCTTGCATTTTCTAGTCAAGCATTTAATTTTTGTGTACTTTTAGTATCCTTTATGCCCTATATAATAGGAAGCAGATATTGATTGTTTGATTTGAACATCAAAATTTATAGCCCTATAAACTAAAAATAGACTGAGGTGAAGCAGAGGTCAATATGTAGTTCAGGAGGCAATAAATCTTGATGTTCACAGATATATGCAGTCAGCATACATTGTTATATACATTAATCAATATTGAGAGAGCTTCCCTTCTTGGCCATGAATTGCTTGTTGAGAGTAGGAAAAAAATATTTTAAAGAGTCAAAGGAAATTAAAAGTGTAGAAAGTTATTTACTTATTTTATGTATTTCCAGCATTTATACTGCATGCACCACCAAAATATATGGAACAGAGCTTAGAATAAGCCAAAACCAAAATCCTTGTGTAGGCAGCTAAATAACCAGTGGGGGCTCCTCCTTCCCTCTTAGTATCAATAATTCATAGAGATGTAGGACTTTGTTGGTAGATTAAATAACAGGAGAAGAGAACCAGCAATTATGGAAAACCCTTAACAAAGGCATGTATAATATAGTTTTATGAATATAGTCGGGGTGGGTTTAATCTAATTTCTGGCAGCAATGAATTCTGAAAATGAGGCCCTACTTCTGCCAACAAACTGGTTTCTTTGAACTTCACCTCTGTCAGAATTTATCTGGAGGGTTTTAGGCAAACACAGCTCATGTGATTGGTCAGAGAGGTCTTGTCATAGTTAGGCCTTGGCCAATTATGGTTTTATAGATGTTAAGCAACACCTTAAATGTTACCCAGAAGCTTGCTGATAGCCATTGTGTAGTGTGAAGCACCCTTATAATATGTGTACCCCTGCTGGTCACCTTAATCAGATGACCGAATACTCCATTCTTCACTAGCTGGAGTTTGTGTTGCACCTGTGGTTGACAATGTATAGGGTGCATTGAAGCACTATTCTGGAAGTAACAAAGGCATGTAGGAACATAGTTTCTTCTTCAAGGAGCAATTAAAAAAGACTTTTGGCTACCCCAAGATAGAAAAAGACACTTCTGACCACTGAGAGATGCAAGAGGCTGAGATTGCAGACCACTTTGACAGTTGGCAAGCAGATGTAGTAATTTAGAGGATTGCTCATAGACATCATTATTTTTCTCTGTGAGGTGATTCCTGTCAGTGAGCGTCACCTCAGTCTTGTCTAGACTCTGCTTCAGTCTGTTAGCTTTCATGCTAGTGATGATCTCTGCCAGATAATAGGATAGCAAGTAAGTGTCTGTCAAGGTCTCTGTACCTCTTATTACCTCCCCATTTCCCCACATAGATTTCCATGTTGATCAAGTGGGATAACAATATTAAGCTCACATGGGACCCTGCATGCTAGACAACTCAGACAGGAATAGAACAGAACCATTGTTATTCCTCCTTTCCCGAGCTGATCAAATAAATAAATCAAGAACACTGGATGTTGATGATGATGATAAATCCTCTTAAAAAAATCCTGGCAGAATTAGCAATGGTGCCTGACTTCTGACCCACAAGATATCTAACCATCAAGGTCACTGCTGGTGCCACACCATATGCACATATATTTCTACACATCTGAAAATTGTGTGATATTCAAAGAATTGAAGAGTTTTCAGTTACTGGGCCTGTTATCAACACTTTAGTTATCAATCTTAGCAGAGGAAGAGAGTACAAATAGTTGGCAAGAACATTAATGTCAAAAGATAGTGGCGCTCAGCCTAGGTTAAAATCTATTGGACTTGAATGGGTGTAATAGTCCTGAGAAACTTTATTAGTTGTGGTGATGGATGTGTAAAAGACCCATGTAATTATGTATTATTATTATTTATTTATTGAAGTAGTACAATAAAACCTGTTATCCAGCATGCTCGGGGATTAGGGCATTCCAGTTATCTAAAAATTTCGGTTATCTGAGGGTCCCATCAATGGAAAAATCAATGGACAATAATAGTAAAACTCAAGTTTTTAATATTGGTAGTTTTATAGTGTGAGGCTGTTGGTCTCATTTCTATTTTGAGTTAAAGATGATTAGTACTACTTAATTTTTTATTTAAGCCAATCATGGTAAACCAAGCCAGGCCTGTGCTGCTGAAGATATGACAGTATTGTGGCTGGGGCCAATGCTGGTTAACAAAGTTTTCTGGTTAACAGAGTGCCGGATAACAAAGGTTTCACTGTATAAGCACACTAACCTTCAACCTTGCAGCATATATGACTATGAAATCATTCATAATTTCAGTGTGCATTTGTGGAGATAATGTTCATTTTGTATCTTTTAAAGCTAGTATAATCAGCTATGTATTGTACAACAAAATAGAGTCTTTATTAGTAAATAATGGTATAGACAAAGTATATTAGAGTGCCTGCTTTCTCCACTTTCAGATACCTGCTTAACTTTATAGCTGGATTTAATAACTTTCTCCCTCAGTAACTTCAAGAACCAAAAATTTTGGTATTACAAAAATGATCCAGTTATATTTTCATAAATATGGAAATAGTAAGAACTATTTAAGTACAATAAAGTTTCATTTTACTTTTTGTTGATAATCATTTGCTTTTGTGTTATGACTCAAAGGAAGATAGCCTCCGTGGGCTAGATGCGGCCCGTCGAGCCCTTTGATCCAGCTAGCAGCTGCTCTGCCGCTCCCCCACCCCGGGGCCAATTGAAATCTGGGGACAGTGTGTGAAGTTTCTCCCCCTGCCCAGAGCACGCACCACCAGAGGTAGCTGCCAGCTGTGCTGTTCAGAACAGCTGGCGGTTCTTTCTAGGTGCTGCACTCCCATGGCGGGGCAGGGGGTAAAGACTTCACATGCTCCCCCAGGCCTTGATTGACCTGGGGGTGGGGGGGAAATGCAAAGTCGCCTCCCATTACCAGGTGTGTGTGGCAATTAGAGGGAACCACCAGCTGTTTTGAACTGCTGGCAGTTCCCTCTAAGTACTGTGTGTCCTTGGCAGGGTGAGGATAGGGGACAAAGACTTCACAATCTCCCACACTCTCAGGCCAATCAGGGTCTGTGGGCGAGGGAACATACAAAGTCTCCTGGCCTTGCCCCTTCTGTCTTGGGTTCTGCCCCTTCTGGGGTGGCCTGCAACCACTTCTGAAATTCATGATGTGGCCCTCCCTTCAAAAAATTAACGCCTATTCCTGCTTTATCTGGGAGGGAGGGGAGGAGGAAGCTTTAATTACACTGTTTGGTACTTTCCCTATCTGTTGCAGGTATGCTCTCATTCTTCAGTTCAAGTGCTATAAAACATTGTATACATATATTGTATATAATGTGCTCCAAGGATTTAGCTATGTTTTATGCCTGCCATCTGCTGTCTCTCCCTGCCAAGGATTTTGTTTCATCTTACTTTTAGCTTTCTTGTCCAACTTAGTTCTCTAGTAGTGATTTGACTCTGCAATCATTGGGAGATAAACACATTCAGGATGAGTCCCTTAGAAACGGCATTATGTAACAAAACTAGTTTTCCATCTCCTGTACAGTAAATGTTATGTTAAGAATAACTTTAATGAGTTTAATTCTTGCAGGAAAAATTATGGTAGTGTGTAAAGCTTCGTAGGGCCATATCTCCCCTTTACTTTTTAATCATTGGGGAGGATTCTATATAATGTGAGTTTAGTCTTGGGGAGGAGGGGAGAATGCGACCTACAATGAAAAACCTCTGGATACCAGAAACCATGCTCTTTAATGTTGCCCACCATGACATTTTAAAAAATAGACCAATGATTTAGGCCTTGTAGTCAACAGTTTACTCACATTCATAAAGTTATGGCACATGCTTGAATTATTAGCAGGACTGAGGCCTCAAACACTGCCAGAGACCTTACCTGAAGTTTGTTCTTAAACTAGTTTCCAGTGATTGGGTCTATATTTTAAAACAATTTGGAACAATTCAGTTCCTCACAATTAGCAGTTATCAAATTTTAAAGAGTAGTTGTAGTGGTAGAATAAATGGCACACACAACTATGCTAAAAAGAATATCAAGTTTGCAAAAGAAAGTATTCAGAAGCTACATAGTGCCAGCACTAAGGTTGAATATGCAACCTGTAGTTATCGCCCCTTGTACATGTGTATTGACAGTCTTTAATTTCATGTTCACATACTTTATAAAAACACTGGACCACAAAGTGTGCTTAAATATTTTGTAAACCAGAGAGGCATTGATCAATGTGAGAACATTTCTTCATTCTACTGGTTCTCTGCACAGCATGGCTGCATAGTTAGATAGGATTATTTTCTTCATTACTGACTTAAGGGGTCATCCCAGCTTGCTTATGTTTGAGTTCAGAAAATGTCTTCTATGGCAATCTTGGACCCATGGTCCAGAGCTCGAAAATAGGAAAGCATAGTGTCCTCTGTAATAATCCTAGTTTAAGTAACAAGTGGGAGTAAGGGGACATATATGGAGTTTAAAAATTTGATTCTCAATCTGTGGGCTGGTCAGATTTTTTTCTGTCTGAAAGGACACAGATAAAGTGGAAGAGAACAATTACATTCAGTGTGAAAAGTCCCTCATCCTCTTCAGATCTTTGCCTGGAAGTTTCAGTCATTAGTAAGAACCATTACCCATTCATAAATTTTAAGCTGTTAAGGATAGGGACTGTCTATTATGTTTCAGAAGTGTCTAGTACAATGTTGTCCAGCCTGGTTGTAGTCTTTAGGCACTACCATAGCATAGATATTAAATAACAAAATCCTCTTTCCTCCATTAAATCCCACCATTTTAGAGGAACTCTAGCTATGTTAGACATGCATCAGTGCTTATGATGTGAAATTACATATAGATGAAAGTCCAACCTGTTCAATTTCTCT